CATACATATAATAATTGAAAATAAATAGATTATTGAATATTGCCAGCAGATTGACTTGGAATCAAATGTTCCTCTTCATGTCCCTCTTTTCTGGCAGTGCTACAGAAAGTTTATTTCATAAAAAGCAAAGATTAATTTGTATAAAAATATATATAAATTTATGTAGAAAAGGAATAGCATATATTGCAAGTAAATAAACTTACAAAATAAATAAGTTAAACAAGTATTTCTTATTTTCATTCTTTTAAGGAAGGATCATAGAAAGTTTATAAAGATTATTTAAAAAAAAAAAATGTATTTTATGCGCTGGATTATATCATGGACATCTTAATTATAATTTGAGCCTTTTAAGTTGCAAAGTTTATTTTTAATTAAAAAAAAAAATCAATATATGATAATGCTTAATATATGTGATTTACTAAGCTATGATCCGACCTTTATTCTTGACATATATTAATTATTATATAAATCATAACGTGTGAGTTACAACAAAAACATAGTTATTAATATTCACAGTAAAGAGATCATAAAGTCTCCTAGTCCAAAGAAATGTACAATTCAAATTTGTAAAAGGACAAGGTAGGCAACATTATCCTTATACAAATCAGTTTCGATGTTTGATTGTATATGAAAAACTGTTATCGTTTCCTTGTTATATAACGATTGTCAATGAGCTTAAGCCAGATGGGCAGCAAAAACGCGGCATTTTGAAATTGTAAACCAAATGCCTGTATAAGAGAAATTTTATTATAAAAATTGCTACTATCCCAGAAGTAGATTAATATTAAAATTTAATTGATTATAAAAAAATGTTATATCATGCATAACATTATATAAGAACAATTACTATGTATTGCACATTAATGACTTTAATTCTGATATTACTGTCAAATGTTATATCTGAATAAAAATGTATATCATTCACCAAATTATTTGTCTCTAGTATAAAATAAATGCATAAATCTTGCATACAATTTCACACATCTTTGGTTTCATGATAACGATTATTTTAATTATGTGCAGAATTGTTAATTTTTTTCTATAATGTGGTTTATATGTTATTTTAAATGCATCTTATAAAATTTATAAAATATTAAACAAAAATTGTGATCACTCCTGGGTTAGAAATATGTATTTTAATTTGAATAATCATTGTGCGTATAAGATTATATATCGATCAGAAATAAAAACAAAAAGGAAATTATAAAAAAAAAAAAAAAGAAAGAAAAAAATATCCAATTGATCACAGTAATCTGTTTCCAACAGGTACTTTTATGTGCTTTTGTTCGGTTATGTGCCCATCTCTGAAAACTAGGAACTAACAGTTTTCACTTATTTAGCATTACACTTATTTTGTATGTCGATATTCTGATATTAATCAATTGTTTTATATTAATGCTGCAGTCACCCTGAAATATTATAACAAAGTTTTACTGGTCCAGTTTGCCAATCTGATTGCCATATTCTCATTCAATTTCTCTCTCTAATAATACTGCCTAAATATATCATCATATTGATATGATGCTATTCAATAGACTTCATTTACTTTTATTATAAAGTTACTCTTCATATTATTGCTATTAATGGGTCAGGAGTTACAGTACCTGAACACATTCGTTTCTTAAGTTGAATTACTTAATTTTAACGTCATGGACCTTTATATGGATCATATCAAATGTATTTGGTACAATGTAGCTATCATGACCCTAAGTGAATTCTTTTTTAAAATTTTTGGACCCAAATGTTTGAAATGTGATTGGCATCTTGGAACTTCTATACAAATATTCACATATATGATTGCAATGATAGATAACCCAGATAACAGAAAGCCGTGGATAAGCAAACTTTTATACCATAGAGTACATTAACTAATGCTTAGGGCGAAAATACTATAAACTGCCATCTGCTGAATAATAATCTTATATCTCATGTTACATTACAATGTCATCACAGTATTTTGATGTACGTAGCTAATTATTAAACTTCTAAAATAACTGATAACTTCCCACATGTTAGAATCTTATATGGAAAGTTAACAATTATGAATACATGGCAGTTTATAAGCATTTTTATATATGCTACAAACGGTATTCAGTAGAAACATTGTGCTCTTTTTCAACTATCGTTCTTAAAAATCATCTAACAGACGTGAAATACACTTCAAGAACTCACGTCCATAAAGACAATATCATATATAACTAAGAGCACTATCTATCTACTGTACATCATAACAGTTATTCTAATTACACGAATTCATTTTGTCACCATTTATAACATTATAAACTCTCTGTGCTCAATATGATAAAACTTAAACACTCTTATCCAAAGCCTTTGTAATCTGGGACAGTAATAGCATACATAACACACAATTTTGCATCATAGCATACATCTAACTATATAAGAAAAAATAAATTAAAATTCTATAAGAGACTGACATTAATTAGAGACTGATTGCCTAGAAGAGGCTGCGTGCATGGCAAAATCGACAAGTGGATTACTTGGGACGGTAACGATGGAGTGTGAAGTACTACTGCTTAAAGTAACATTAGCAGAAGAAACTAAGGATAATGGCTTACAAGATAACTGATCAATTTGTTTTATAGGTACCAATTTAATTGGCACATCTGTTTTTAACCTGACAGCTTCCGACACTGGTATAGCTTTTAACTGAACACTTTTCAATGGTTGTATCTTAACTGCTGGTTTTATAGTAGCACTTGTATTTTGAATAATTTTGGTAATTTTACTCTCACCAACTCCTTGGTTGGAAGACTCATCATAGCCAGAATCTGAAGATGAGTCACTAAATGTTTTACTTGCTTGCTTAGAGACTGTTGTTTCTGTACCAGACTCTACACTATGAGCAGGACTAGCAGATGCAGAACTGTGAACAGGACTGGCAGATGCAGAACTATGCACAGGACTACAACTTAATGCATTTGTTTGTTGTTGTCGTTGCTGTCTAGCTATACAACCAATACAAGGTTTTATCAATGAAGGATCTACTATTACTTCTCCATATGGACCTTTAAATATTGTTCCACAACAAATTATCTCCCTAAAATAATATACATATCTTAAAAAACAAAAGAAAACTTATCAAATTGTGCTTATAAATAAATAAAAACTTTACAATCATTCATAAAAGTTGATAATGAAACTAACCGTTTGAAATATGTTAAATCAATAAAACCATTAACAGTTAAGTCATCCTTTGATTCTGGGTCATCTTGCATATCTAATTGTTTTTCAGTTACTGGAATATCGTCACTACCTATAGGACTACCTGCTCGACTTGAACCTTTACTACCATTTCCATTCAAATAATCTTCTAAATAAACAACACGACAAAGTAAAAACAATTGTAAAATTATAATTCCAAAATTTTTTATTTAAAAATACGTATGTTAAACACTAACCTGTTAAATCATCACTCATTGCTGGGCTTTGTTCTCGATCTCTATCAGTTTTTAAATACATGTGTTTCTTTTTCATAATCTTTTCAAACCTTTCTGGTACATCTTTTATTTTCTTTTTGTTTTTTGATTTAAATTTCGTTAGTGATTTGATACCAGGCCCTGCACGTGCATCTACAACCTATAAAAAGAAAAAATATTAATAAATAGTTATACTTAGTAAATGTTTAATAACATGAGTAATTTGGTATAAATAAACAATATCATATTTATTAAAACTCACATGTCTCCAATTGCGGTTACTTCCTGCAGGTAATTTTTTCCATCTTTTTACTAAAAGTACACACGCATTACAAATTTCCCCAGTTCTTCTTTCTTCAAGTTGAAAACATTCCATAAAATCATCTTCATACTTTTTACTGTCTGTAAACCTTGAGCTATAAACAAAATACATCATAATTTATAAAATAATATATTAAGCTCATAGTTTAAAAAATTTCTTTGTTATTTACCTGCTTGATTTGGCTTTACAAATACAGCATCCAGTACTAGATCGATAGACCTTTGGCTTATGAAAACTAAACATTTTGCACGTTATTTTCAGACTGCTTCTGTAAAAGTCGAAACATTAAATAACATTTTTAATTCGACCTACTTGAGACCAGATTAAAATTTTATAAGATCTTACATAAAGAAAGCATATCACATGATAACAAATTCATAAAAAACCAATAAAACTTTAGCCCAACCAAATTCATTCCAATATTTTTTTTCACAATTTATTATCGGTTTATGTTTACAATTGTAAGCAATTACCTACAAAGAAGAATTGCATATAGGTACAAGAATAAAGTAATCGTCAACCGTATGTTTAACGCGTCCTGAAAATAATGTACCTTTACTGAAAACAGCATGTTTCGATGATCGTGACAGTAGTCGAAATTAGCTCCGTTCTATCCGTACAGTATGAAAAAGCATGTAAAAAGTTCAATCGCGATAATTTGTCATGACGAAAAAACCACTGATCGTCACCATCTTTATTATACTTGTTTACATCGATTCGTTGCCAGTTCTGTAACTAACACCGCGATTTCGGCTTGACAGTGTATACGTGCAAGACGCTACGAGCTGTGACGCACGTATGCTACTAGGGGGCGTCCATAATCTCACGAATCCCCACTTTATATTACACGATAAAACTGCAAAGAAAAACAACGTGCTAAAGGAAATCGACACTTTATGAACACTTCTTTCTACATAGAATCACCAAAATCATCTGCCGCTTATTATTACACATTGTAATTACACCTGTATTAAAGTTATCGATAAAATGTGCTAAATAGAAATAACAATGTATTATGTATCCTTTCATAAAGTTATAGTAATTTTCATTACGTATATTAATATCGATCATTACTAAAAAAAAATGATAAAACCATTAAAATGGGAAATATTTGTTATTCTATACTTTCACGAAAATTGGGAATGTATATATAATTATTTAGGAAAAGGAACAAAAAAAGTAGAAAATTGCAGTGTGTTGATAAAACATGTGTTTAAAAATAGAATACGTGAAACCACAACAAATAAGTGAACATGAAACACGAAAATATAATTCTTTTGCTTATAAATTCTTTAGATATTGTTTAACTACATTAAGAAATTTATTTAAATATTTTTTAGTTTATTACTTGCTATAAGCTGAGTATAATGGAAATACTAAAAACAAAAAATTCAATTACTGACATGGTTTAGATTTCAGGAATTATCGATTTCTTATCTTCCTACATCTTTCAATAACAAAATATCTATCGCAACTGGTAATTCACATTTTATCCTGTATCATCTTTGCCTTAATCAAATTTCAAAAGCAGGTCAGTGACGTATAGTGCATCACAGGTAGCATCCACTGTAAATTAAAATTTTAATATGATGTTTTATTTCGGCAATTTTGTTAGGTATTTAAGAATACATATGCAAACTAGCATTCATACGATGTATATCATAAGTACGTGGAAGTAAACCAGTTTTCCTTCGATATACCGAATTTGCTTTGTACGTTATCCACCCGTCCTTGTTTTGCTCAAGGATGATTTTACTCAGAACCATAATAAAGTTCTCAATGATTTAAATTAAGGTGTTACTGATACGTACACTTTTGCATTTCATACCTATATTATATTGTGATCTATTGTATTCTATACACAAATTTATTCTACTAGAGATTCTCCCAATTAAATATAAATTTGTTACGTATATAATTCAGAAGATTCTATTCTATTGTAAGATAATATTTACAATCAATATAATGGAAAAATTAATATTAGTAGTAAAATTCAGTTTGTTATAAACACAAAACACGACAGATCCCCTGCAACGCATTATCTACAATCTCGAATGCTAACGTCTTTCTCAGTTTCAATGTACGACATATTTTTTACTCATTCTGGGAGTGGCGCCATCGGTAGTTGAAACCTCAAAGCAAGAATGTTGCAACGTACTGTACGTAAAAAAATGTAAATGTGCTTTCGCCTCGTTGCAGTCGATGATTATAGTGGGAGACGATGTAAGGGACATCAGGCAACAAGAAGGGGAGGGGAAAAAAAGAGGAGGGTATAGCGATGTTGCCACGTGGTTTGTTGATCGGTTGCCTCTTCATCCCGATACGACTCAGATCTCTGACCTGACTGCACGTATATTAAACAGTACCTATATTTTGCGTATTTGTTTATAAAACAAATGTCAAGATCAACTCCAAACATAAAAGCTAATATCAATTAATAACAAATCTGGCGACATCTATGGTTCAGTTATTCAACTTTATTACGTGACATCTACTATATAGGTACATTTAATTTAGTAGAATTTAATTTGTAGTTATGATAAATGTAGTAATATTAATTAATTTCCTATTTTTACGATAAAATATAACATAGAAATAAAATTACGTATTTATATATCAATTAGACATTTTTTCCATACTATTAGCAAATAATCGTTAACTAAATATACATACTAATTATAATATATCCATTTTATGAAATAAATAAATTTTATATAATGAAATAAGTAAATTATGAATTTCATTTATAATTATTACAGTAATTTTGTTTTATGTATGACATTCTTCAAAGGGATAAATAACAAAAATGAAAAGTGCACAATATCTAAATAAAGTGACCCTGACATGCTAACACTTAATAGTTCAACTTTCGTTCTCATTTTTATAGTTGGTATATGATTTTAAAAATAGAATAAAATATCAAATTATACACTTTCTTTTAGAAATAAATATAGAAGCATTGCTGCATTTCCTTTATGTATGTATTGAAGAAATAACTAATAATACTATAATCAACTATAATAAAAGTACCCCAGTCTGAGAAACTTCGATTTCGTTGAGGCGATGTTTAACGATGTCGCAAGTATCTGATCGAGATGACCTACATTATGATAAAACAGGTTCCGGTATTTTGGTCAGAATAAAAACATGGAGACATATTTCTCTACCTTTGTGACATATAACTTCTAAAAACTATTAAAATGTTTATCAATTTTTACTATCCGACAATTTTCGAAACATAAATTTAAAGATCTCGAATATTATGAAGTATTAAATATTGATTGATCTTTCAATCACAAATGACAGAACATGTTACACAATACACGATTACCTGTTATATTGATAAGAAGTAAGTTCCCAAGTAAATTAGAACAAATTGAAGTTTGTTAAATGTTAAAATGTTATACATGAATGAATGACCACACAGATGAATATAGATATAAATATGATAATAAGAAAACTATTTTATGAATGATCAAAATGTTATTATGTCAATATAATTATTTATTATTATAAAATGAAACTTTCTCTAGTCTAATATTGTTACTGGATATTCTTATAACATTCATTTTTTAAATTAAAAATATTTTCCAATATCATAAAAGATAAAAATGATATTTTAAAATGGAACAAAAAAAATCAGTCGGAAAAATTATATTTATGGAAATTTTTATAAACAGAAAAGATATTTTTCGCCTATACTGGTGTAACAATGTATAAGCTTGAAGACCGTGATTCCGTCTAAAAATGTCTTAGGTCTTTTTTTTTATTCAGTTGGAGGTAAGAAACTTATCAATTTTCAGGGCATATATAACATTAAACATAGCTGTAAGGCTCCCTTTTTAAGCATGTGGGTTCCTACCGAAGTTCGTTCGTGACAGATCGTGTGCCATTTTCATGAAGACAAAAAAAGAAATCTACAAACGTAATGCACTGAACGAAGGACGTGCGCAAGCAAGAGACCGACATGGCGCGTGGCATGGTATAGTCCGCCGCCATCGTCGATTCCTTCCCTTCCCACCGTCCTAACCAACCCTGTCCCGATGAACACACAGTATGTTTATTGAGAATATTAGATAAATATGATATTTTCTTTGATCAATTTCTCAACAATTATTTTAATGATTCCTTTCAAAATACGTATATGACAACACTAACTGACATATATCTTGAATGAACAATAATCAGAAAAGATAGTGATATGATACCCGCCACAAGCGGGCACGCCATGACAGATGATACGGCACGAACAAACAAACAAGTCTACTTGCCAAGTGGAACACCGCGCAGGTAAAACGCGGGAATCATCGTCAGTCTGAAAGATGAATAATATGTAACAACTAGTGGATTTCTATGATGCTCTATGAATATCTTTTCTGTACGTTATTCGGTGTCCTGTCAATGCAATGACGAGTGCCGACAATGAAAAATCCATGAAGGTACGCGGTACCTACGATCTGGTGAAAGTTTCTCTTTGCACTTGACATAAACCACTTAAATTTGAAGGATTATAGTAATGCGTAGTGAGGACGGATTAAGAGAATAACTGATGAATAGACGAGAATGAAAAATAAATGTCAAATGTATCGATGATGATACAGCAGCCTGGCAGATTCTGAGCCCGGAGCCGAAGACGCTGACATCTCGGAACATATTTATCCTAAACACGTGAGTAATTTTGCGTGACAATCCACAAAGTTACTGACAATGTGTCGCGTTATCAATACGTTGTATTTTTATGACACGTGCTCACGAAATTCATATTAAGATGTTGAGATTAATGACAGCAGAGTACTTACCTTTTCAATACAGGTGACGGCCAGATTTGAGAACTCCTTTGCGCAGGCTCACGGCGCTGGCTGTGTTGCATGCTCTAGTCAAATGAATATCCATATATATGAAATAAGAAATTATAATTTTTATCTTGCCGTTATTTGTTTTTTATTCTTAATAACTATATTTTTCATAAAAAAATGTATTATATATTGTATTTAGTATATAGTAACACTATACAAAACTTAAATTATAAATTTGTTCTTATCGTGTAAGTTTGATTTCCGGTCAAGGATTTGATTTTTGTTGGACATCAGTTCGATAAAATACCACCAGGGTTCTAGAACAGTAAAAATTTCAATTTTTTAAGATACAAATAGAATTTAACTGATTACCTCGGTTAAACTTTAATACGTAAGTATACGTATAAATGATAAGATTGTCGATATATGTAGTAAAATGTGTTTTGTCAGAATAATTTGAATAAAATTGCGGTAGCTTAGTAACAGTGAAAGTAGCGCCATCTTCATGTATAACGAATACAATGAAAAAGAAATTATGCGTAGATACAAATTTTTTTACTTTAATAATCCAAAGAAAAATTTGATCAGTGTCTAAACCCTAGAATTTGATCTTTTTCGTCTGACGTTGGAATTATTGAATATGAATGATTTATAGTTATTTAAATTATGAAAAATTTGTATTAGAATGCCAATAATATCTTTTGAACTTCGAGATATGAAACACGAACACTTAACCAATACTCATAATTTGCCATCTATCGGCAATATATTTGAAGTAAAAATAGATGCTTCCATTTTTTTTTACTTAATAGGTAGTAAAATGGAAACAATTTATTTTTTCATTTTATCATTATTGAACAGAAATAAAAATGTAAGTTACATATTATCATAAATTCGTAGTAATCAGTGTAAATCAGTGTTGTCTAAACTTTTATTCACGAATGAGGTGCACTTCCCCCACTCTGCTTTTGTCGCCAAGGAAACTAAACGCTAGTCGTGTAAATTCAATGGAGATCTCGCGCGAGTTTCGTGCTCCTAATATGGACAACTCAAAATGTAATTTACTGTTTTTAAAATTATAAACTAAAAAACTTGATTATGTTTCATCTTAGTTAATGCAAATGTTCTAAGGTAATGAATATAGTACATATCCTGTGGATTGTGTATAAAGTGAAAAAATATATGATTTCTAAATGCATGCTAGGAGACAACTGAGCAGCCCCACTGCTCTGGAGTATTAACGTAGAGGGGGGATAAAGCCGCATGAGGGGCCCCACCCGTGGATATCACATCGTTATGATCGTCAGTCGTCAATATACTCTATAAATTGTGTTATCGACGATTATTCTACGCAATTACAACTGTCATATTCTCTTTTAAGTATATATATTAGTTATTTACAAATTATGGCCAGTTCAATTAATAGCACGGGTAATGGTTATAATTTCAAAGTGGTGTTACTTGGTGAAGGATGTGTCGGAAAAACTTCTGTTGCATTACGATATGTTGAAAATAAATTTAATGATAGACATATCAGTACATTACAGGTAAAAAATGTTTAACGTACCATATCTTTATGTTGCATTTTATTTATATTTTGAATTTATTTGTAGTATAAATAAACAATTTATATTATAATGTTTTTAAACGTAATGAATTGTCGATCGTAATGAATATTGAAATATTTTTAACTATTATATTTTCAGGCTTCTTTTTTAAATAAGAAATTGACAGTACATGGAAAAAAAGTAAACTTGGCAATATGGGATACAGCTGGTCAAGAAAAATTTCATGCATTGGGACCAATTTATTACAGAATGTCAAATGGTGCCATTATAGTTTATGATGTTACTGATTATGATACATTTCTAAGGGTAAAAATTTAAAGAAAAATATTATTCTACTTTCTTACATCCTATATTAACGTTCATTTCACAGGTAATAAATTGGGTTACAGAGCTTAGAAAAATGTTAGGCAGTGGAATCTGTTTAGCAATAGCTGGAAATAAAGTAGATCTTGAAAAGGATAGACGAGTCTATATTGAAGAAGTAGAAGAGTAAGTTTTTTTAAATCTGTCATTATCCTTGTATTATGGAATTTGTTTTGATAAAAAATATTTCTGCTAGGTTTGCTAATAAAGCTGGAGCTATGCACTTTCATATTTCTGCCAAACTAAATGAAAATATTGAAGAAATGTTTTTTCAATTAACAGTACGCATGATAGAATACGCAGATCTTATGGAACAAAAGTCTACATTATCAAGAACGAGTAGTATACGTCGCAATGTTGTTGTAGTTGAAGATGAGGCTGAAGAAACTGAACCAGTTAAGAGTTCCTGTTGTGGTAGTTCTTCGCATGCATCTTAATTTCAGATAACTATTACAATTGGTTCTAATCTTGAACAAGTCATATATATAAATGTGTGTGTATATGTGTGTATATATATACACAAACATAAGATATACATATATATACATACATACATATATATGTATATATACATATTGATGAGCCACATATATCATAAAATTTTTAATATTTTATTTTATAAGAAACAAAAAATAATATAGGTATAAGCTGCTAAGCCTAAGTAACTTAACTGAGTGTAAGGTAAGAAATACTGATTATATTTTGGGAGTTGATTTTTATGTATTTCAATATTCAATTACATTGATAGAGCCTCAGTTGACTCATAAACCAAATATCTTGTTATTCATATATATCATATAACTAGAAGATTTATTACAATTATTAGATATATGTATTTCTGTCATATAAATGTATATATATTTAAATACTATTATGTTTTAATAAAAAGTTAATTAACATATACACGTATTTAATACGATGTTATTTCTTGGGAATGTTTTATAATTCGTAATTTAGATTAATTTATAATTAGTTACAATGTAAAGGATTTACTAGTTACATGCAGTGTTTGTAAGCCTAAAGTATAATATTCTATTCTATCACAGGTACATACATGGATTATAAATATCCACAAATTCAACTATAATAGCAACATAAATCTTATTCTCTTAAATGATTAATTTTTCATAATGTAGTTTTAAACAGTTACATATAAATTCATGAATGAATTATTCATTACTATCTGTAAATGAAAGAAATTTAGGATACCAAAAAGAATGATTAAAAGGAAGTTATACATATGTAATATACATATCATGACATATTATCCTAATATTTTTGTATAAATAATTATATTTTAATACAATACTTTAATTCTATTAATAACAAGGAATGTAATTGAATTATATCAGTTCTATATAGGTCTGGGTTAGTCTTTTTCAATAACAGAGAACATATTAGGCAATGAGCCGTCATTTTATCCCAGAAACCCATAATGGCAGGACTATTTAAGAAAATGTACAAGACTACACGTATGATAGTGAAAATATTACTGTAAGTTTTTCACTTTTCGAGTGATAACAAACAGGTAAATATTATATTACATGATACCCTGACAATGATTCTAATCTTAGTGGTTAAATTACTATAATAATGGATAACAATTTCAATCATTTGTTATTATTTTAAATCAAATGATCTTATGAATTATTCTTTCACTTTTTGAATTTGCTCCTAGTTTTTCATTGTATGAAAATTATAGACCAAGTATCACATAAACATGCTAATCACACCAGTAATTTAATTCATATATACTTAAAAATAAGAAAATTTATTAATTTAATCAGTTTTGTAATATGATCGTTTAAACAATGCATCAAGATTCTTTATATTATGTATAATTAAAAGAGCAATTTCATTTAATCAGACTAAAATTGTATACAATACTATTAATTTGTGTGTGTGTGTGTGTATATATATGTATATACATAATGTCAATACAAAGGATGCCATATACTATTAATAATTGCTAATTCATTACTATTTACCGCTTTGGCTATATTAATCAACTATAACAATATGTAGTTATTATGACTTTTATGACTCTTGTCATGTTGATGCTTATGTTAATAAAATTATGCGAGCAAAGTACTCTGTACATTATAGTTTGCTCGTCTAGTTTTATTATACTATATTATTTTAAAATAATCCTACATTTTATAATTGCATGATATTTTCATATATCTTTGGTATACCATTAATTTTTATATATCTTTACACATTTTTGAATTACTTAGCATCCAAACTGATTCACATTACTTTAGCATCTTGTATATTCATTTTAAAATTATTATACCAATTTATTAAAAAGAAAAAAAAATTTTGTGCAAACTGTATAATTAAACACTATTTGTGATATTAGGTATGCAAGTATTTCTCTATCTGTATATTTTAATATAAAAATATTTTAATAAACAAAGTACGAATGTTATAATCAAATATGAATATCATACACGAATTGTTACGTTCGCTTCAAATTTCAGCAAGTTTGATATGACTTCGAAGATCTAAACGAGATTTCTCGTTTTTACATTCTAAAATGAAAATCTCAGGAACTCGTATTTTTCAATAAAAATCCTATAAAATCTTCTTCGAAGCTATATTATGTAAGATTATACAATATCAAACTTGGCAGCCAAATTTATAGGATTTCTGTTCTATAACATATATAAAGTATTAATTTCGTTCCAAATTAGGCCATTACCGTTCGATTCTATATTTTTTTATATAATAAATATTTCATCCTGATGAGTAAATAAAAAGTCTATGAATTGATTTATGGGACCTATCGCGGAAAGTGTCATTCCACGTGATGGTGGTGCTCTGACAAGATTTGGACCAAATACGACGGCGAGATTACTTGATGTCATTTTGTTTAAATCACACCTGTCCATTACCTGCCATAAATATACATATTTTATCATAAAATTATATCTCTTAAAAATGAGAATAAATAATATAATTATTAAAATGATAATAGTTTACCCTTGATAAAAATTGTACGATATATTTTAAAACTTGATAATTATCTTCTGGAAGTTTTTCAAGTACTAATATTTTAACTCTTCTTGGACGTTCATCCTTCGATAAAGCTAAAATAGGAATATAAATACATTTATATGTTATATTTAATATTAATAAATGAAAAATAAAACAAAATATTTTTAAATATTTTACCTTGAAACTGTGTTATTTCATCATATAATTCATATGTTAGGAGAGGTTCATCTAATTCTCTAAGGAATATTTTAAGAAGAACAGCTGCTATATGCGGGTCTCCTTGAAAGTCAACAGGTAATCCTTGATTACAACGATTTTGTAGTTCTTTAATTACTGCTACATTAGCAGATCTTCTAAATATTCCTTCTGTTTCCAATGCTGTAAGTAAATAGTAACGTGATTTCTGAAGTAGACAACTTACAAATTACAAATTAATTAATTAATTAATTAAATATACAAATTACATAGTTATAAACATACCATCAGGGGTATCAAGAAATTCAATGCACTGTCGCACTATTGGTGGTATAGGATCACCATTATTATTCTCTTTAATAAAAATGAGACTTGCTCCAAACTGAGTGGTACCAACAGGTGTTGTTACCGTACTCTGAGGTGGACTTGTTGGTAAATTTTTTTTGTTTTTTAACATTAGCCGTTCATTGTGTCTAAGAAATAATATAACCAATTAATATTAATAAAAATCTAAAAGTGTTATAATTAAAAAAGAAGTACTTACTCTATTACTTGAGGAGGTATAATAAGTTGATCAAGATTAATATATTGTGCGAGTTCCTCCAAATAATTAACATACATCATTTTCCGACCAAACTTTGCACTAAAGAAATAAAAATAATAAAAAATTGAATGTAATAATTGAAAAAAATATTTATTCATTGGAAGTAAAGAGAAAAAATTACCTAATGGCTGGCTTAAATATTTGCCATACAATTCGAATAAAATTAGTTGGGTGTACTAAATATAAAGCTTTCAAATTTTTTTTATACTTTCTGTCAAAAGCTTTATATGCTTGCCATAACCAAGATAACGGTGGTTTATTTTTTGAAGTAAGACCATAATGAAAGTAAACTAGACTATAGTCTTGTTCTACAAATGTGTCTAAAGTATGCGTAAGATACCTGTCAAACAATATTGTTATAAAATTAATAAAATCAGGAAAGTTATATATTTATTAAATTGATATAAGTATTTATTTTACAAACCTGAGAAGTTTTGCATGATTAAATGTTTCTTTCCCAACAGGAGGTAATTTACATGCAGATACTACTATTATTTTACGACCAGCACTATCATCACCAACCACTTCTACAATGCCATATCTTGATATATCAAGATAATCTTCTTCATCTGCAAGTTCACCATCCAGTGTAGCAAGATCCTCTGCTACTCAGCATGAAACATTGTATTCATAATTTTTTACTTTTATTATTTTATTTATTTTTTATTTATATTATTTCATTTCTTTTTGTTCTTTCTGTCTTCCCTTTGACTCTTTTTACAAAATAAATACCCACAATGATTAAATTGCAAATGAAGTAAAAGAGAGTCATTTAACCTTTGGTTTTGTGCATTGTTATACCATGCAATAATAAACTGTACAATGATCTACACAATTCACCTGCTAAGCCCCAAATGCCATGACATTTAGTGGCTACTAACAGAAGATAAAAGGTCACACACCAGATTCGATAACTGGAGCATCTACCAAAGCTTCTTCAAAGTTTTCTTCTATTGTCCCATCGCTTACTGGACTCTCCAAATAATCTATCCTAGTACCCGTACCACTGCTAATTAAGTCAAACTTTTCTTCTAAAAGCTGTACAGCTATAAAATGAATATTTAAATTATACTCTAAAATAATTATATGAAAATATTGAAATTTAATATAAAACATTATAGTTGCAATATAATAATAACATAAGTCATTGACTTAAGTACCTTAAGAGATTAATTTAAGTGTTTCAGATTTCATACTACAATAAATTATGTTTCATAGCAATAAGTAATATTCCATATAATTATACAAAATTACTTTTAATTTTATACACCAAGGAATTTTTCATTTATATTTAAATGTCTTACCATTATTTGAAGTGGTTTGTAACTCAGTATCATCAAATTCCAAGTTGGGCTCATAATCGTGATAATCTGACAAACTTGGGTATGGGTCTTCGACGTCATTGGCTATTGCTACCATACAAACAGAAGTATGCGCATTATTGTCTGTACCAAATATGTTTCAATGAATCACAAAACTACATCAGCCATTATAAGTCTTTATTTGATCAATGGTTTTGCTTTTTAAATAAATACTTAAAAGATATTAAGTAACAATTAAAAAAAAATATGTTTGCAAAACAAGTATCATAATAAATTGATGAATAATATATATTTCGCGGTTTCTCGTTATATATCATTTTCCCGATCACATTACCAAGGTATATATGATCTCTAATAAATATTTTGATGCTTTCCGTCAATGTTTACAAATCACTAAACGATTGTGGAGTTTAAAAGAACAAATTTTCTAGTGATATGTATGTACATTTGAAAACAAAGTCTGAAGCTATGTCAATTATGACCAAATCTTGAATTTTTTAATACGCACTATCGTGTCAATACGCGAAATATTCGTCACTTATCGATGTGCTTTTCCACATATGAGACTGAGATCCATCATGAAATGTTTTCTCGCTAGAACGAACAGAAAAACGTCGATGCCAGGTGAACTTTTACAATCACGATTTTTGGCGATATGTATTTGATGTGACGTTTATTTGACACCTAAAGCAACGTCAACAATCGCAATAGACAAGCTCACCTGTCAAAGTTCGCGTTGGACTTAGCGTCGGTTGATAGTCTGCTTCCATTTTCTGGCAACTGTGCGATAGTACAGTGCCGGGATTAAATTACGGGGCTTTTATGTAGCCTGCTTTATAAACGAACAACGTTTTTCTTCTCGAACGACATTATTCTGACGCGGTATGGCAAACCAGCGTATTCACGTCACGCTTTCATTTGTTGTGTCGCTAATTGTAATTCGTAGTCACTCGTCACTCCCTTTCCCCACTGCTCGATTAACGAATATTTTCATACTTATTCCTATTGGTTGATTGCATACTTTTGCAACATATACAATGCGCGCTAAAAATATGAAAATCACGTGACATGTTTAAACGTTAAATTAAGATAATGAACGTAAATAAACAAATATCCATTATTTTTTTTATTATTTAAAATTTATATTTTACATATAAAATCTATATGATAAAACAATGTAAATTTTTGTTCATAGTTATCATTAGTTTTAGTTATCATTTAGTTTTCTTTCATAGTTATCATTAAGTGAAGTGTCAAGATAAATATTTAAAAGATAAAGATAAAAATATATACAATTACATTTCTTTCCAACATTACACAAAATAAGTATTTATAGGAAATTATTTTGTTATTATTGTAAAGAATATTTGGTATTTATTAAAATTATAATAATGTTATACAACATAAAAGTTTTTCGTATTTTTTTAAAAACGAAATTAAAAATAAAATTGTTTACTATTCTTAAGATTTTGTTAATAAAATAAGAAACTTTCGTTTTTTTAATAGAAGTTATATTGTAATTACACATTGTGTTTACATTGTTCTGTTACTTACTGTATGGAAGAAATGGAATTTTTGATATAAAACTATAACATAATTAAATTAAATAATTATATATAACTGTGTGTAATATGTTATAAAAACTATAATTAAATGTTGCTGTGTTGGTATAAATTATATTTTGGTATATCTTACATAAATCCCATTGTTTGTTTTCTTTTATAAAAGACTAGTTCTGTGAGTAATAACATTATACTGATTTATAACGACTTCCACAAAATGTTAAACTGAATGTATTTTTTTCAGTTTATCATTTATACAATTTTCTTTCAATTACATATGTTGCACAATTCCATTTTCTAAGCACACATGATTGCTAAGATTATTATATAATTTTCTCAAACAAAGATGAATTTCATAATTAATACAAATTAAAACAATTATTTATATTAATTTATAATCATGAAACATTTGAAACCATAAAAATTTTGTTCATTTAATTTTTTCATATTGAAAATTTTTAGTCAAGAAAACTAAGAAGAGACTAGTATTGAATATCAAAATAATAAATATAAACATATAAATAGAGAAAGCATTGTTTATTGGGTTTGTATTTAGTAATGTGTAAAGTAATCTATTAATTGTACAATTATGTTAATTACATAAAGACTAAGCAATACTGACTAATATAGGATCTATTATATCTTAGCATTCATGACAAACTATCATTTGCAATAATTGAACCATTAAAAAATGCTTACTTTCTACATCTTTGTATTATTCTTCTTAATTTTATTAAATTTTAAATGTTGTACGATATATGCTTTATTGTTACATTTACAAGGACACATACGTTTCTTGTAATACACAAAAATATTTCTTTATAATAGTGTAGTAATTTAAATAAAGGATTAATAGAATTTATTAACATAACTCGTTTGTTTATTTATATAAATGGCAATGACGGTTAAGATGATACTATATTTCCTATTTATATTTCATAATTTTTTATGTAACGTTTTGCAGAGAATTACTTTATATTTTTATTTTATAATTATTATTATGTTTTTACAATTTAAATGATTATTTAAATATTCAACATCTGAGGCTGAAAAATTGGCAGCTTATTTCGATGTAATTGATACGGTAATATACTGTGCGTTATATACACAGTAACCAAATTTGAGGCTGATTTCAATATTATTCTTTAATTGTAAATATATGTTCTTTTTTTCAATTATATTTCATATAAAACTTTACATGTTTGTGGCATATTAAAATTCTATAATTGTTTATACATTTTGTTTACCAGTCTCTTTGTAAACATAAAAATATATTTATACATATTATTTAAATGTAGAATGTACATATTATTTATGTGTCTATATATTGCAATGCACATTATTGTAATGCAAAAAGTATTCATTATATCACGTTTTGTTTAGTTACTATATCAAATCACAAAATATAATATTTTGTGTCTGTAATAATCAAATTTGCGTATAATGATTATATTTTGATTGATTTATATGTAAAGGCAGAATGTTTTTTGTGGGAACTTATAATTACGATCAATATTTTGCAATGACAAAATATATGTATGTATTCATAACATTTTCTTCAAATCCACATATGTCACATTGTGTTTTCTGTACATTTTGCACAATAATTGTGCAATATTATTTATTATATCTTTCATTTAACTTTATGTTATCTTACTTTGAATATTAAGCAATGAGGAGATAAATTCATTTATAATACAATTCCATGTGTTTACAAAATTTAAGAACATGATGTACAATACATAAAAACTGTATACTACAAATAAATGGAACTTGTTAAAAACATGTATGAGGTGTATAGACCAAAATAGATGTCATATTAAACAATTTGTAAAAAATGGAGATGTAAAATAAAATAATTGGTCCTGATTTCCTTTTGTTAAAAATGGTAAATATATGAGATTTGCACATATGCGATGAAAGACTGCAACTTAATTTTGATCTTTATAAGACACATGATCCTTTTAAGATCTGTTTATATTTACAGTGCAATTAATTAATTTATGTATTAAAATTTATGAATGAGAATATAGAATGGAGTATATGTACAATAATGTGACTCCTATTAAACCGAATACTTAGGACCACATTTTTTTATCGGTGTTAATCTGAGGCCTTTAGCCAACATTTGAGCTTCAAGGTCACGATCTTCATCTTGATACCTAAAAGAAAAGTATGCTTCCATTAACTACTAAACACAATAGCTAGAATTTAAATATGCAATGATAATGTCTTTATCTTCTGTACAGAGAATATTGTAATAATTAATATAAAGCAATAAAATATGCTAAAAATTTATTATTCGTTATTAAATATTTCTTCTCAAATTTATACAATGAAATTAATTGAAATTTTCTATAAAGATACACAATATACTTCCATTCTTTTAAAAAAACCTATTTAAATCATAATTATTTTAACTTTGTCTATAGGACCCAAATTCTTACCACTTTTGGTAACAGTGATATGTGTTTAGGAAATAATTATCATAAACACATACAGTAACACATTTTATTTTTTTCAAAGTATCCATTAAAGAATACTTTAAAATTTAACAACAGTTACATTTCTGTACATTTTTGTACTTGACTCAACATAATTTTAAGTACAATTAGAATATTTTTTTTCTTACAACAGCACAACATTACAGTCATGTATATGAATACATCACTTTATCACAATGCAAAATGAAGATATTATGTAATGAAAAATATTATAACAGAAAATAACAAAAATAAAAAATTATGTATATAAATGGCATGCATAACTGAAACACAATAACAGTTTAAACATTGTAAAAAGAAATGTAAAAATTAATATTTTTACATCATGCTCTTCTGCATGCATTATAATATCAAAGTTATAAATGAATAGGAGAATAATTTAGTAAAATAAATGTTTGCTACTTATAAAAAATTATATAATAAAATGCACTAAACTATAATGTGAACAATTTACAATTTTAATATGTGAATGTATGATTATATTTAAAATTACTCAAACAACTAAGTGTTTCTTAATGTTTATAAAATATAAATGAAAATAGAAATATTTAAACACCACCTACTTAATTACGAAAATGTAAAAAACTATCAAGATGTGAAAAGTGTTAGCGGTTCATTGTAAAAGTTAAAGAACAATTTTATCAAGTTAGTCAGAAACACATATATAATTAAAATGACTATTAAAGTGAGTACAGAAGATGTGTTGTTCAAATTAGGACAAGAGAAATTAGATACGTGCGAAAAACAGGCAACTGTATGTGGAGAAAAAGGAGTTAATATTTGGCATGTAGATTTACACCACCTTTGTCGCTCTTCTTCTAAAAGTGCAATGAGTGAGTCCCGCTTTGCAACTATCTCTAACATTTCTGTTAAAATTTCTCCTTCTTTTTTTACATCGGCACTAGTTTTTTTATCATCTGTAAAATTTAAATATATTTATTTTTTTAAATATTTTTTTAGAACATTCTTAAAAGAATTTTAAAATATAATTTTTATTAATATTATATGGTACTAATAAATACTGAAACATTATAAAGTATTAACCATCATCAGCTAAACGTTCACGTAATTCTTGTTGCAATCTTTCATGACGATCTTCAAGCTGAACCTCTTGAGCTCGTACCAGAAGCTCTTTTTCATATCTCCGTAATTCCGTGCGTTCTTTCATAAGATCAAACCATTCTCTGAGCAAATCCGCTTCTTCCCGATCAGAGCATTCTAAATATAATAAGTACATTTTATTTAAGCGCTTATAACAGATCTTTAAATGATATGATCTTACCGCCTTCTCCACGAAGAGCTTTTTCAACGCTAACACCTCTGCTTTCCAACTCTCTTTGTTTAACTTCTGTTTCTTCCAATTTTCTTTGTATTTCTTGAGCCATACGCAACCTTTGGAATATTTATAAATAAATTATTGTATTAGAAACGATTGAATCATTAGAAGAGTACAAAATAATTTCACACCTTTTTAATTGTGCTTGTCTAGCTATTCGTTTTGTAGTTTTTGTTTTACGCGAAATACTATTACATGAACCTTCGGTTACTGTGGCCTTGTATATACCTGATGCTGACACTGCTGTTGTTTTTGTATCATCATCTGATAAACTATCATCTGTTAAAAATAAAACGAGTATAAGATATAAAAAATAAGCGTTTTTATGATTTTCAAATATTTATTATTTCTAGTTAATGTTTTATTCATACCTGAGACTTGTGTCGTAGGAATAGTATAAGTAAGAGGTGGTGGTGGAATTGGCGGCGGATTTTCATTTAGAAAGTTCCTTGTGAGCATTCCTTCGCAAACACTTTTTGGTCTAGTGTTAATCTTCGGCGACAAAACTTTATCAAGCTGAAAAAAGAATTTTACTATAATGTTGATTCCTTACAAAGATAAATTTTTTATAAATAAATAGAGAAAAAGTAATTCATTTCTGAAATTAATATAAAGTGTTTTAACATTGAAAAATAAAAATTGTAATAAAATCCACTATTGAAGTACATGAATAAGCATATAAAATTAATGCAATTATAAAATACACATATTGATAATTTCGTCCATATAATTATGATAAAAAATATGTACATATGATGGTAGAATTTGTGTATTGTAGAATTGTAATAAAAAATTAGAATAGTAACTATAAAATGAACTACCCATACATATTTATCTTCCAATAATATTTTCTTAATATCTTTATGTTAGAAATAACTTTATTAAAGCACACTAAAAGAAAAAACCGAACATACTGAAGTGGCAATTATATATATGACAAAAGTTAACATGCTTATTTGTAGGGTAGACTGTTACTACAAGGATCTAACAATAGTGTAAGGAGGTACAGTGTAAAAAATTCAGTTTAATGTAGCTTATGCCAATCAATATGTTACCCCCTCAAAAGCAGACGAGAAAATGCGGCAAACGAAAATAAAATTATAGTACCTGCACGATATACAATAGCGAATACAAATAGTGGCATAAGAAAGCTAATACTGGAAAAATTAGTATCAATGACTTATGAGTTGCTTACATCTGACCCTTCCGAATACGATTTACATAACTGAAACATTTCAGAATCCAATTAGTTAAAAAATATTTAAGAATACTCACGCTGTACAACAGTAGAAATGTAGAAATTAATTAAATAAAAAGAAATAGAATATACGTACTTTGCCTTTTGTCTTTGATGTCAGACGGAACATAGACAATTTGTCTTTTTGATTGGATGGTGAAGGAGAAGATTCCTTCTTAAAGAAGAAATCTGAGACTGCTTGAATGATACTTTTTCTTCTTTCTGGATCTTTTGTCTTTTGTTTTTTGTCTCTTTTTACAATGGCAATAGAGCTATTTGATTTTGGGGAATCAGTATGTAACAATTCATCCATTGATTTTGCATTGGCAGCAGATAGACCACTAAAATTCACTACTTCTGTTACAGTTTTCATATTATCTGTACTCTTGCTTGTTTGCAATTTTAATCCAATTTTATTTGCACCAGAACTATAAAGTCTCATACGAGGTTCATGTTGCGTTTCTTCTTTAGTTTTTCTCTCTTCCATGGAAAGTTGTCTTCGTGCTACTTTCATTCTTAGTTCTTTGATTTTATCTTCTGGACTAAGACCTAAATCTTCATCGCTCTTTAATCTGGCTCTTTCTCGCGCATCTTGTCTTGCTTTTTCTGCTGTTCTCTTTGCCTCCTCGTGCTTTAATCTCGGAGGTGCAACTGGTGTTTTAAAATTATTTTCTTTTTCATTAACTATATTATTGAATGTACTTTCAGAAGATTGAATATTAATTTTTTTACTCTCTTCATTGATAACTTTTTCAGTTTCCAATTTCCAAGGTAATTGTTGTATCTCGTAAGATGTTTCAGTATCTACAGATTTTTTGGTTTCAGGAGAAATAGTATGCAAAGGACTATTTTCAGGTGTCAATATGGATGTAGGTACAAATTTATTAATTAGTGAAACACTAGGAATAGGTGGCCTCATTGGTGATAAAGTAGGAGTTGAATTAAATGATGAAGCTCTAGCAGCTCTCCTTGCTTTCTTCTCTGCTGACTTCTGCTTATGAGCTTCTACTTTATCCATCAGTAAATCTTGTATTACATTCTTTTGTTTGGATCTTTCTCTGGTAATTTCTTCCAATTTTCTAGATGTAGCTGGAGAGTTAAAGCTGTTATTTATTGCAGTTTCTTGATTTTTAATTTCTTCTGCTATCATCTCAGCTGTACGAGATTGTAGAGAGCTCTTTGAGTTCTTCCTTTTAGATTTTCTGATATCTATAGAGTCTTTGGCATTGCTAAATTCAGCGATTCTAGATTGTAGTCGTTTCACGTATTCTAAATAATCAGGATTGTTTGAATCAGCTATTGTTTTTGTTTCTTCTTCTTGCTCAGATTGTTTTTGAGTTTGAGTCGTAACTATTGAAACTTGTGGATTGACAGGACTAGCAAGTATAGTAACCACTTCACTAGTAGTAGTATCTTCAGCCGGTTCAACGATAAGCAAGCTATCTTCCTCCATTGATTGAAATAATTCTTTATTTACTGTTTCTGTAATAGAGTGATCTTGTTGATTAGAATTTGATTTTGTTTCTATGTCTGATTTAATATCATTTTCAGATTTATTTATAGTACCATTTAGTTTATTCATAACATCATCCATGGTAACTGGGTTTATTTCTATTACATTTCTGTCATTGTAGGCTTCTTCCTCTGAACACGAATCATTTTCTATTTCTAATTTCGCAATAGGAGCATCGGCAATTAATTTATCTCGCGAATTTGTAAGTGTTGGAGCATTCTTAACATTCACAAATTCAACATATCCTCTATTTTTGAGCATAACCATGTTAGAAGCATCTTGCAAACTGTCATCCAACAACGACTCGTTATCTGTATCCATAAAATCTATATTTTCACCATTAGCTAAAAGTTTTGAGGTATTATTAACAGGAACATCCAGCTGTTTGTCTAATTTCGAAGAATCTAAGTCCATGTCTGTTAAATCTTCCTCTTTGGCTATCATAACTGGAGCATACCCCATCTTTGAAGAATCTGAATATGTTGTTTTTCTTTTTGTCGTTATAAATTCTGGATTAATATTAAATTCAACATCTCGTAGGTCATCTGAAACCAGAACCTCTCCATCACGAGCCCACTCTAAAAATTCTGTTTCAGTAAGAGCTGCTGTGGTGATGTCATTCTCTTCAGAATCATCATGCTTATTGGAAATAGCAGAAGTTATTGATGTAGGAGTACTGCAATTGCTAATACTTTTTCTGTCATCCTGCAATTCCAATTGCTCAATTTCATTTTTTACTATCTCTAATTCCATTGATGTTTTATTCATACAAGGATTTGAAGTAGAAACTGTAGAGTTTATTTTATTATTTAAATCTTTATCTTGTAGAAATGAACACTCTATAGAATCTGGTTCGAATGATTGAGCATCATCGAAATTTTTACATTTATCAGCTTCTTCATCTAACAGTAGATCTCCATCTGTACTGTGAATTTGTAAACGTGGTGGAGATAAGTTTATAACAACTGGTGACTGACCCCGTACTTCTTCTGCTTCACCATCACCGGAAGACAGAGAATCGCTATCTATCTCTGAATCTCCAGTACTAGCAGTTTCTTTTGTTTTCTCATTTTTTTTATTCCAATCAACTTGGGGTACAATGATAGAGGTTTCATGCAAGGGACTTCGTGGTCGAAAACCATTATTTTCATCTGTGTTTATAGTAAAATTGCTCTCTATATTTTGAGAGATCCTTGTGTTTTCCAGTATTTGTGAATTGTGAAGTGTATGACTAGACATTACTTGTTCTTTTATAAGTTCTTTATTTCCTGTGTCCTTGGATTCACCATAAACAATGTTAGGTGTAGTTTTTGATTTTAATATACTAGATTCCTTTACTAAATCTGGTAATTGGGTTTTTGATATTTCAGGTAGTATTGTTGCTTTATAAATAGGATTATCATTATTTAATAAATTCTGAGCGGGTCGATTAGCAATATATGGTTTTACTGAAGGTGAAGAAAATATAGCTGTGGGTGATATAGGAGAAAGTTGGGTATTGTTTGAGCGCAATTTGCTTGTTCCCTGCAAGAATGCTTGCATTGTGGGACTTGGTTCTGAAGCAGGATTTAAAAGTTTTTGATGTTGAGAAATAGCGTCTGTGAAGTTTCTTAATTGCGTATCTACATTCGAGGCTGATCCTGATTTCATAACGGAACCACCAAAAGCCGTGCCACCGAGTAAATATTTTTTTTTTAGTTCCAAAGATAATTTAGATGCAATACCTTCAGTAGAATGAGTGCGATTCAACAAATAATCTCCTTTGCGTGGATTAATTAATGGAACTATATTCGTATTATTGAATCCTAATAAATTCAGCTTACTCTCTTGCTCAAGATGAGTCGGATTTATACCATGATCCGTTTTTAATTGCGATTTAATATCTAAATTTTTGTCTTGTTTTAAATTTCCATTAATTGATGAAATAATTTTGCTTTTTACTTGAACTTTTTTAGGCTCAACATAATTTCCCCTAGTTTTGCGGACATACGAATCGTTGATCGTGATTTCTGGAATTTCATGTTGCGTAGGAGTAGCACCATCGTGTTCAAATTCAGAATCCGTTGATATTTCTGTAGCTGAACTTTTTTCGCTTTCTTCCGATGTAGCTTCATTAGATGCAACCTGTAGAACCACTTACAGATTAATAAATGAGTAGAGATATTACAAATATTAAATGTTATTAAAAAACAAGAAATTTTGTTTAGTGTATTAGTGAAACAATTAGTGCAAGGAACATGATGCATTTAATCAGAAAATGTTTTACATTAAACTTTGTTAATTGTTTTCAATACTAGAGTTCACTAAAAACTATTATGTAGTTTTATAAGTATATCCAAAAATGTATAATGTTCCTAAGTTATTAATTACTGATACTCGTCCTATATTTACCGTGGAACTAATCATGATAATAATAGTATGAATTTACCTAAAATGAAACAGTGAGATTTTTAATAAAGTATTGGCTGGTGGTAATCTCAAAATTAATACAAATTGGTGAGAGACATTGCTAGTTTTAGCATAAACACTAAATCAAACACAAACAATTAATCAATTTGAGTCATTGTTAATTTAGAATTAGTTTAATAGAACACTCCATTCGTACATAAAAATGCTTTACCTTTTTTTCAATGGCTTTGGGTATCTTAAAAAAATATACCATCAGCCAAGTATAAGTAATATCTGCTTTTTTACTTTATTAACATATCTCACACAATTTCCCTAAATGTAAATCATAAAATTGAAAAACACATTGGAAACATACAGAAATCATGTTTAAAGATTTGTTCATCATATGCACTCATAAATATTGTTTTGATTAAGACACTATACATTTATCTTTCTTTGTTCGATCATTTTTAGAAGACAAGGATTTTGTAGATTCACATTGGTCGGAGTTTATTAATGGGAGAGACTTTGCGAAATGAGAATGTTTATGTTCACTGATAGTATTTCCTAATGTAGTTAATGTTTTATTTATTTCACTATTACTGTTTGCTGTTTCAGTTGAATGTTTTAAATTATTAGTCCCCGTGTTTATTATATTTTTATGCTCAGTGGTAATAATGTCTGCTTCGATTAAGTTTTCACTAATTGGAGTAGAAATTAATTGAATATTACATGTAGACTCTTCTAAAGAAGACGGAACATTAGTTTTTCGTTTTGAAGACTTTTTTCGTATTGGAACAGTAGGAGTAAACTGTACATTGGACTTATTAGATTCCTTTGAAGAATTGAGTTCATGATGTTCATGTTTTCTTTCTAGTCGATTTGGAACTATATTTGGTAGAATTAAATCACTATCTGAATTTATATTCTTTATATGTTTTGGTATTTCAATATTTTGTTCAACAATTTTGACTTTGGTAATTTGCTCAGGTTCAACACCTAAAGTTGTTAATTCAGAAGAAGATTTAAAATTTTGATATAATACATTAGTTCTATTAATAACTTCTTTTCTCATATTTAAAGAATTATCACTTCCATGTAAGGTATTATATCTATTAATATTATTAAATTGCGGCATTGGTATTATCTGCTTCATATTAGGTTTAGTACTGTTAGTAGAATAAGTTGTGTCATTTGTTTTCTGTTCATGTAATTTGATTTCTAAGACATTAGAATCCGAATGTAGTGTCAATATTGCTGGTTGTGAATTTTGGAAAGAACATTGTTTGTTTGCTTCATTGGTGCACAATTTGGTTTTGAAAGTATCATCATTATGTTTTGAAGGTACTTGTTTTATATGAAGATCAGTTAATTCTATTTTTTTTTCACTTGATTTAGTCTCTAATGGGTTATTATTAGGTTGTAAAATTGTTTGTTCTATATTCATTTTATTTTCGTCGGATTGAATTTTTATGGATTCATAAGATTTATTTTCTGGAGTATCATTGATTATCAAACTAGTCAATGGTCTTTGTTCTACATTGATTTCAACATTAGAAGTATTAACTATTACATCTTCGTATGATTTAGTTATATCTTTTGTATTTGGTTGTTTATTTATGTTTTCTGAATTTAATTTCATCGATATAGTATTCAAATGCAATTTAGATTCAATACCTTCAGTGTTAATTGAAAACATTTCCTCATTTTGCCGTTTTATTTCTTCAAATTCTTTATCAATAATATCAATTTTATTTAATTGATCGATACTTATATTGCATTTATTTTTTGAATTTTCAGGTTTCTTATCATTTATTTTTTCAGAAAATTCCTGATTTGTTTTCTGAAAATATTTCATTATGTCTTTCGTTTCAACTTTAGCAGATAATTTCGGTTTAAGGTTTAATTCGATAACTTTAATATTAGGGGAATTTTTATTTTGAATTTCTGTTTTTTCTTTTTTCTCATCTGTGAAATACTTATTAATTTTTCTTCGAGCATTTTCTGTGGACAATGGTCGGAGTTCACCCATTGAGATTTTATTCCTTGCTTTTCTCTGATTTAAGTCTCGTTTTAATTTTTCGAATGAACTATTTCCATCAGACCGCATCAGTTGATTGATTTCTTTGGGTACTGTTAACTTAGAAGCTTCAATAGAAGTTTTTTCTAATGATTTTTCATTTGTTGGTGATGGCGAAGTAATAGTTACTATTGGAATTCGATTAGACTCCTTTATGGACAATCTTAATTTATTTTCTTTTAAAGTATCGTTTGCTAATTTCTTATAGTGTTGTGTATTATCTGAATCACAAGTTTCTGATTCTTTTGAAGTTATTTCATGTTGGATATCGGGCATTAATAAGTCATCATATAATGTTTCGGTTGATTTGTAAATTTCAGATGTAGAAGATGGTGATGATTCTCTACTATGGTTTGGAGAAGATGTTATCAAATCCGGTAGTTTTTCCTTAAGATTTAGAATTTCTTCTATGTTAAGCTGGCTTGTATTATTGTAATTAGTCTGACTAAATGGAATAGCATCTGGAAGCATAATTCCTGCAAAAGCTGTTTGCAGTTCTGTATTTAGTACACTATTTGTTTCTAAAGGTGTCATATCCAGACCAGGAATTGTTTTAATATTTACTTTATTATGACTGGTAACGATTGTTTGGGTTAATTCAGTATCATTATTACTTATTTTGTTCAAATTTTCATTAACAAAAATTATCTTATTATTTAATTCATTGCTACTAATATCATTAAACTTTGAGCTGACCTGATTATTTTCAATTAGCGATTGAGTCTGGTTTTTGTTTAAATTTAGAAGATTGTTTTCGTCTACTACATTTTCATATTCCGAAATGTATTTATTCTTATCATTATGCCGATTAAAATTATTCTGCACAATCGAATTAGGAACAATTAAAACTGAGTCTGAATTTACGTTATTATTTTCCGAATTATCTGATATTAAATTACATGAAGTATCAATTAAAGGAATTAAGCCTCCATATGCTTCATTTTGAAATGCATTTTTTTCGCTATTAAACTCATTAATTATTATTCGTTGATCCGTGTTTCCTATTAACGAATCGACCGATAGTATTTTTATATCTGATAATTTCTGAATATTTTTTGTATCAATAATGTTTTGATCAACTTCATCGTTATTCATGTCTGTTGTTTCTTGGAGCGATATTAAATTAGTAGTTTGTACAGGAACTACAAGAGATTCTTGAGTTACATTATCTACAGAATCTTGAGAAATTTTCACCTCCGTTTCTGAACCAGTGTCCGTATCGGAGCTACGGGTAGAATTCTTCAGCCAAACTTCCTGTTTTCTAAGCTCTCGAGCACGTATGTCATCTTCATCTTCCGTAGCTGTTGTACTTTCATCGTCTAAATAGAAATGCAAATAGCAAAATAATTGTTTTCTTTTTTTTTGACAGTAACAGTAATCAATAACAAGTAAGTAAAATAATAAAGAATTATAACAATGTTTGTACCTTCATTTGTATATTCATCGCTGGAATCTTCATATTCATTGCTCCCAGTATCAGATTGTCCCATTGCAGCATGTGGATGAGAGTATCGCAATGTCCAATTCTTAGCAAGTTCAAGAGTTCCTTCTGTTGTTAGGGGTTGATCTATCGCTTCTTCATATATTTCATTATCATCATCTGAATCGCTATTGAGATATCAATGAATTGTTAAAAAATTTGTTATATGTTTTCATTATATTGTATGAACAAAATTAAAAATACCTCATGTCTGAAATGTCATCACTAGAGCCCATTTCTGCAGTAGAAGCACCAAAATTTTTATCTGTCCATTCATCTTCATCCATTTGACTTTGGGGTTCTTCAGCGTCTGATATCTCTGCTAAGTTCTCGAATTCGATTCTTTCTGGTGTTTGTCCGCGATCAAGTAAGTCAAGACCAACAACACCCTCTAAAGGTATCTTTATCTGAAGGTAATGAAAGTTTATATTCTTAATTATAAAAATGTCGTCTCATAAAATAGAAATTTGAATCATACCTTTTCAGGTGTTTTTAGATGTACAGGTGATGTAGGTATATTTTCTTTGTTAAATGATGTAATTCTCTTCTTTTCTGCACGAGCTTTTAATGTTCCTGAGAAACCAAAATGTTGTGTACAATAGAATCGCCCTCCATTTTTGTCCCGGTCAAAAGTATGGTTTCCTACAATATAAAAAATAATTAATAAAAATTACACTTATATTTACTTTTAAGATAAGAAAAAATTAAACCTATTCTTAATGAGGTAGAACAATATTCGCAACGGAAACAGCCTCGATGGAAAAATTTTCCTTCGGCGCTCAGTCTCTCCATCAAGTAAACTCTCTTGTTACAAAAATGACACATCTCCGAACCTCCTTGCGTAGGTAATGTTATTGTAGGTTTAACATTCTGTAAGAGAAGTATAGAAAAGCAAAGTAGTATTATTTAATTTCAAATTTTTAGTACAAAAGAATCTTAGTCAGGGATTATATATTTTAAAATGAATTATAAAATTTTTATTAATAAAATTGTATATTAAATACTACAATTAGGAAATACATGTACCAACATAAATTTTATTAGGATCACAAATATTTTGGTTCGGTTAGTTTAGTTAACTGGTTTAATAAGGAAAATTGCAAATGTAAAAAGATGATTCACTTATTATTATTATTCACATCGCACTTTTTATATCCTGCAAGAAACCACAAACACAATTTATAAGTATATAAGTATAAAAAATGATTTGATTTCCTTGAAAGAAATTAGACAAAAAATATAATGTAGAATAATCATGAAAATGATTCCGAATGTCCTGCTGACTATATCCTCCAGTACTGAAATTTTGGAATATCGTATTTACCGATTTTTGGACCTTGGGCTCAGCGTCCTGACTTTTATTCGAAAATTGTTCGGCCATAGCCGAGACTTTATTGTACCCAAGCACATTACCCTCTTTGATCTTCTTGTCAATATTCTTCAGGGTATTGTCAATATCAGCGTACTTACTATCTGTCTCCTTCTGATCTCGTCCTTTCTTCTCCATCTTGATTTGTCGAGCTAAAAACTGAATGAAGCATATACACATCTGAAAAATTTTGATTTTCGAGTACTGTTCATTCATTCGTATGCCAACCTGTTCTCGACTCCATTTCGGTACTCGTTCTACTTTGTCATGTCGAACCGAACGACCCATTTTATTCTCTTCGATTTTCTTCTCAATTTCCTTCACGTTCCAATCGGTCTTCTCGATCTTACCTTTACAAAGCAATACAGTATAATTATATTTTTCAAATAAAGCATATATAAGATAATTTAAAAATAAATAGAACGTTTATTGTGCATTTTTTTCATACAATATTTTTAATTTAGTAATTTAAAAAAGTTACATTTATATAAACGATTCCTTTTGATGACAAAATTGAAGACATTGAAGTAAATTCAATTTGAGTTCTATTTTGATTATTATATTAGAGAAATGATTAATAATAATGCAATAATAAGAAAAAAAAATAAAATAACACAAACCTATGGCACGTAGGAGATCCCTTGGCTTTTTCTCTGCTGGTGCAGATCCTTTTAGCTTGTCCTCGATGCTTTTTATTCTGCCGGAGAATTCCTCATCTATACTATTTCTGTGATGACCAGCGTGAATTTTGGGTTCTCTGTCCTAAAAATGATAAACAGCATAAAACAAACCTGAATGTATAAGGATAAAACAAATTAAGGACAAATTACAAATTTATCAGATTCGCAGGAAAAGCGAAAATGCAGTATAATTTACAATCATAGTACAATTGTGCCTCAAAGTACGCTTGTTTCTTCTTATCATATATATAGCTATTTATTGAAAAGATTAATTATATGTTATATGTTATATGTTATATGTGTGCGTGCGCGCGCGCCTGTTTATGTGTATGTGTATAAATAAATGTTACGTATTTAGGAAAGAACGGAAGAAAAGAATGGAAAAAGCCGGCGTATAAATGAAACCACGTACTTTGAAATTACTAGCGTACTTCAAGGAACAACTGTAAATGTATAAAAAGAAATGAAAAAGAAGTGCAATTTATTAATATACATATGAATAATAAATTAGCACGATATATTTTATTTCGTTTGCAGAGTGTAATGTTAGAGTTATAATTGTTTTAAAATATGTAAGCACTCGCAATCGATGTTATGGTCATCCCTTTCTTTTGAAAATAGTTAGTGGTATAATTCGAAGCTTTTGCACCTTTTAATATTATTGATGCATAAATGTCATGCATATCGTTTAGAATTTCATATTTCTCTTATGTAGTTAGTTTATACACGTTTAGAATTATAATATCTTATTTTTGCCAAGAAAAATCATCAAATAATTTATTGCACACAATAATAAATTAGTATGTAATTATACAGTTTTTCTTTGCGTTATTTGCATACGTTTATGTTAAATATTTAATATTATTATAATATCAATTCTATTATTGAATAAATATAAAAATAATATATTTATTATATTTATTAGGATTT